AATAAAAAATTAATTAAAATGAAAAAATAAAAATTCATTTATATAGTTTAAGACTCAATTTAACAAACCCAACAACTTTTAGATCGATATCTTTTATAGTTTTCTTGGAAAAAATTCGCGAAAATAGCCTTTTTTTTAGGTGCTCAGAGTAGAAGGTCCCCTTAATTAATTATTTTTGTTTCATCGGTTTCACGGTTTCTTACGTTTCACGATTTTCAAATCACCCTGATTCTAAAGAAGTTTTCACTTCAAAAAAGTTTAACGATATTAACCCATTAGCTGCCACGATCCCCATTTGAAGATTTTGAAATTTTACGTACACCACTCGGTTTTATGTGAACTGTTTGGAAAAATGACACAATAATAGCTATTTTATATCTATAGGATAATAATAAAAGAAATAAATAATAGTCTCTTATTGGTTTATTTTTTCGTGCAACCAGCTACAATCCCCATTTACGACTTTTTCAAAAATATAAATATTTCTGAAACAAAAAATGATTTAGCAGTTAAAATGGGTTAATAAAGTTTCTTTTCTTTTTGCATAACTCATGTCTCATCAAACTATTTGTTAATTCTGTTAGCCGTGTAATTAACTGCTATAATTTTATGCTTGAATTTAAACCCTTTTAAAGTACGTTGACATTCTCACGTATTCGTTCTAAGTATATATGAATGTCGCTAGAAACGAGAAGATGAAGACATTAAAACTTTAATCCGTTGTTCATTGAGCTTAAGGATTGTCTCGACTACTCTATCTAATTATCAACTTGTATGTGTATGTATATATGTATTTTCCCCATTCTTCTCTCTCAACGTTTTCCCTAGATTCAATGAAATCTTCCTATAGACCACAACGTACAAGTTTTCCCGATAACGAACATTTCTCACCAAAACTCTCTCTCTCTTTGACGTTAACTAAGCATGCGTTTTCACGAATGCTTTTCATCATTTAAATAGAGAAGAGATCTACTCGATGATATCGAATTTCATAGGGAAACGATTTTGGTGAAGCTTTCGAAATGTGAAGATGATCGAAGGTTCGAACGAATTTCTTAGATCCTTAGATGCACAAAAGTTGAGAATAAAAGGATGCGTGAGAGAAAATTGGCCCTTATTCGTTTTCTAAAGGAAGAAAGTAGAAGAGAAAATAAGAAAACCAAAAATAAATATAAAAAAGAAGAAAAGTTTTTAACTGTATATATATATACATTTAAACTTATAAATATATATATCTTAGAAGATATTAAAGGAAAAGTTGTGAAAAAAGGTATGAAGGAAGAAGAAATCCCTGCGCCTATTCCTGTAATTCTTTATTTACAACTACTAACTCATTATCATAGCGCAGGGGTTAGTAAAGTGAACGCACACGTATATAAATGTTGAAACGTTCGCGAATAAGTTAGCTCATTGTTAATTCACATACTCGTACGACTGTAGGAAGGCTTACAGGCTTCCAACGATTATGACAAAAACTAGGTGAATTGATAATATAACGGCAAGGAGAAGGGAAAACGATTCATCCCCCTTTTGGATGGACGCACGTCGAAGGGTGGCTTGCGTTCATGCGCAAGCGCACACACTCGCGCGGAACGGGGTTGCCGACGGATACAACACAACTACTACTACTACTGTTACTACTACTGCTACGATTACGACTACGACTATGACTATGACTATGACTATGACTATGACTACTATGACGACGACGTCGACGACGACGACGACGACGACGACGACGACGGTGGCGACGGTGGTGAAAGCTGGACGACGTTGTTACTCACGGCGCTCACTTCAATCCTCGCCGCGTGTCCGTCGACCCGGACTACAATCTCGATCTTTTTCTTCCCTTTAATTTCTCTTAACCCTTTCGCTTATTCCACTTGTAATCATTGATCATAATTATCATCATCATCATCATCATAATCGTTCATCGATTATCGTTCAACACGTTACTGTCGAATACGACATTCGCGCGGTGTTTTCCCATAAAAAAAAAAAAAATAAAAATAAAAATCAAGGAATCTCGGACAATAAACGACTCGACAATAAAAATGAGCCGTGTAATGTTATAGTTCGTGTGCGTGTCTTTTTTTTTTAATACACGATCATCGTTGTTCGTACACGTCCAAATTAAATCCGAAGAATTGGAGGAAATAAAAAAATCAACAATTTCTGTGACAACGGCAAAAAGGATTCTATGACGAAGTTTGACAGAAGCAACAATAACAACGACGACGATGACGACGACGACGTTCGATCGTTTAGAAATAGGATCAAAGTGATTTATTTTGCCTACCACGCGATCGAGAGAACTGTTATCTTGACGAGATAACGCGCCAACGAAAATACGAAGAAGAAGAAAAAGAAGAAGAAGAAAAAATCCCACGTGATTTACTCGAGATCTTTTCAAATTTCTTCGAGACAATTTTTCTCTTTTTCTTTTGAAGATTCGAATGACTCGATCATCGATAATTGCATTATTATTAAGTGACAGTAAAGGAAACAAAAAAACAAAGAACAACGATCGAAGAGAAACTATTTGAGAGAAGACGTCCAACACGTGTACGGACAATGCCTTTGCAAAACGTCCGTCCTAAGACGGAATGGAACTTTAAGAGGTGAACTTTCACGTGGCCTACTTCGGTAAAGTCCTTCGTGACTGGAGGGCACGCAAGGTGAGCGTCATACTTCGTTACTTGTTGCCGTTACTACACCCTCGCGTTAGCGGCCCCTTTTTGTGACGCGCCGATTACCTGCCACCTGAACGTTTTACTCGATATAACTTAGCCGCAAGTAGCACGATTAGTAATGGAGGACTATTACTAATATACTAACAGTTATCCAAGTACTTATATACAATAAATATATTTTCTGAAAAAGGTGTTAACATCAATCTCAAGTTTAACAAAATGTTAAATACCTAATCGTCAACTAATTCAGATACCAATACCAATCATCATCTTTTTAATAGATGATCGAGTTTGATTTTACCTCTGTCTCTCTCTCTCTCTCTCTCTCTCTCACTCTATCTTTGTGAAATATTCACGTTGAAAGGGATGGAATTCTAGTAACGTTAAATTCATAGAAGATCATTCGATCCTCTTCGTCGTATTACGGAATGCGCGACTAAAATTCCATAGAACGAACAAGGAAGAGAGAGAGAGAGAGAAGCAACCGATACTACTAACGAACCAACCTTGTTTCACCCTGCTAAACTCAAGCTAAACTCGATGTAAACGAACTCTAGATCCGTTTATTCTGCTCTACCAGGCGGCGATACCTATATCGGACCGGCCGTGACCGTTCGAGCGAGTCTAGCATGATAAAAAAAAGGGGGATGATTTCTAACGGAATAGAAAACTCGATCATCTCTTTGTTAAATCGTGACAAAATATAGGTATATATATGTATGATTATTTTCATGTCTTCATAACTAATCCTGTCTTATTTTCAATCAAATGTAATGTTAATGAAAAATGGTGTACAAAATTTTCACTTACAAGTGTTACTCTTCATACGTAAGTATCAGTAAAGTAGTACGATCAACGATAAATCAAACGAACGTGATAAATTGTCTAAAATTGTTTATAACAAATATTCTCGAATAAGTTTTACACAAGTTTATCAGAAAGAACGATCATTCATTATCGATAAAATTTAATGTCGGAAAAAGGATACCTTTATTTTATCGTAATACTATCATAAATTTATTCCCATAATCGATTTCGGTTGAATTCGTTAAAATAATTGATATTTATGTAAAGAACTTAGAAAGTAGAAGAATAAATTGAAGTCGTGTGCGTTTTTTTTTTTTTTTTTAAATTATTCAAATATATTTATTAGAATGGTTCTCAATGGTCGTTGAATCTTTTAAAACAAGTAGATATATAAATACTTAATCAAACACGAAGTATCATTAGCGTCACCACAAATCTATAATCGAAAAGAACATTATTCGAAATGTAACTTTTACGGGGGATGGGGGGAGGTGGAAGGGGGTGGGGGAAATTATACTTAGCGATCGATTTAGATTCTAACTTATTTTGTAAGATTGATAGCAACTTACGAATCCCCCTTTTAAAACCCTCACGATCTTTAGCAATATATTCTGACTTTCCTATCTACTTTCGATTCTCCACGAGTCTTCTGAAATTTGATGTGAATACCTTCGCATTATTATTCCAGTCTGTGTCAACGATTTACTATTAGCCCATTCGGTTATTCAATAACTTTTCTGGCCTTGAAATATATAACGTCGAACAATATTCTCATAATAATCGCAAGATGTTTTATAATCAAATGGAAGTAGTATGATTTATATTTAAAGATAGAAAAGTCAATTATAAAGGAAGAAACGTAATGTTTAATTAAAGTGAGTTTCGTAGTTGTTAATGACTATAAGTACAACTATTTTATTGGAAAGTTTATTATATCTCTGTCTTTCTCTAATTATGTTAGGAGAACTTCTTAATGATAAATTGTAGATGAAGTACTTGTGTTAGTAGTTGTAGTACAAGAAGCTGTTCAACAATTATGACCTTTCGTAAATCGAGTATCAAAGATGATTGCAAATAATGCAATTAGTCATGTATTATCTTACAAATATGTCTCTTGGTGTCTGATCAACATTTGTTAATGACAGTTGATCACATTGTATAACATTAAAAACTTCAATCATCAATTATTTGAATTCCAATTAATTGCACGATGTTCTCTACTTTATCTTTTCTTATTGAAAATGTCGCTTACGAATTTTTAATCGAAATAAAAGTTCCAATATTATATTATTTTCTAACTAATTAATGATGGTTATTTGATTAGAAAATAATGAAAGGGAAATGTCGCCAATCCCTTAACGAGATTTCAATTTCAAGGTTAAAAGACATATGAGAGTGGAGACGTATGTAAATAAAATGACAAGAATTTAGGGTCTCATGTTAGTCGAACACTATGAAACTCTACGCATAACAATAATTTTAGGTCGAACACGAGCATCGAAGGATTCTCCTTTATGCGTCCTTCCCGTAGTTCTGAACGTGAGATCGATAAATATCGATTAGTTCATACTTTGTGGATACACAAACGTGCACTTGTACACTACCTCATGGTCACTTCGTTCTACGAGGGTCGAAGACTCTAAAGGATAATAATATATATATATGTATATAAGTACTTAATATGACAAAAGCTTATAAATTGTTATTATGAATTTAATAACAAGGATAATGCATCGTTAATATGATATTTATTATTTTCCATATGCATTACATTTTATAACATTTGCAATTAATGTAATAAATACTCACATATCGAGGTATATAATTATTCATTGAAATATGTTAAATTGTAAAGTTGGAAAATAACATTTCAGGTACAACTCTCTCTCTCTATATATATAGGATATATGGAAAACACATATAACGAATTTCATAACGTTTTACCATCATGTAGATGCACCTCGATATCCTGATATTAAAATGTCAAATGAAGTGGCGCAATATCGTTCCATTTCATTCCGTTTCGTTCCGTTCCGTTCCGTTCCTCGTTGAATTTTATTTTAAATAAAAATCCTGACTGGGTTATGTGTTCGTCAAATATTGAAACATTTTTTTTTCCTACGAATCGTGTCGATTGTACGTACTCGCTCGTTATGCCACAAGAATATATAACGAAGTACTTTATAGATTGGATCAAATCATAGATACGCTAGATTGAACGAGCCCGTTTCTTTTGGATCATGACGATTGATGTGTTATTTAAATGAAAGCATAGTGATGGACGTTCATTGTGTAAATATTAATGCTGAATAAATAGAACATTATGTAAATCCTACGTGATGTAATAAAAAAAAAAGGAAAAAAAAATCAAATCAAAAAGAAATCAAATGATTTTAATCTGAATAATGGTATAAATAAATATATGATACGTTTAATTGAAACCAATGTTTCATTTTTATTCAATTCTAATTGAAATTTATTTATTTATTTATTTATTTATTATATCAAAAAAGAATAATTTACATAGTAATAACAAGGTTAATACATAATAAATCCTACAAGAGGTAAACGTAGTTACCTGTACATAGGCTCGTACAAATTAAAATTACTAATACTTAAAACTAAGAATTATAAATAAATTGAAATAACATATATAAACTTTGTGAAATAATTATCAACAAAATCTTAAAATCTTTCTTTGTATTTTTTATTTTTATTTTCATGTTCAATCGACTATCGATTTTTCTTTCGTTCTTGTTTAAATAATATCATAAAAACACTAAGTATATCGATTGTTAAATTAAAGCAACAAAAAAAAAGAAAAAAAACTTTGCCGACGCGCTTCGTTAAGAAGTCCAAAGTAAAATAATCACGATTACTGGTTTATACAATATCACGAGAAGCTAAAGCACTTTTCGAGCGAGACAGCACGATAAGGAACACGAGAGTGAGAATGTTACACGCTATCGTTCGTGAAAACACATTTAATCCAATATAAGGAAACCGTCACGAATACCTTTCGATAAACATTTTAAAAACGTTCTTTCACATTTTTTTTACAATATTATAATTCGACAATTATTACAAAACATCACTTTAATAGTCACACGATTTCGTACCGTTGACTCCGATCGTTTACGCGTTGAATAAATTTTGACTTGTATCTCGTTAAGTCAAATCGAACGTGATTTTAAAGCTTGACGATTTGAAAAAAAAAAAAAAAATTATTCCCAAATAGAAATTCCGATTCGTACGTATTCGTACGTCGATCAAAATTGGAAAGATTTGAAGGTTCGTTTCGTGCATCACGTCACGTCGAGAGATCACGATCAAAATAGTACTCGTGTGTTAACCAATCGATACGAAATCTACTCTTGTTAAACCCTACGTTTCCATCCCCCCCCTTTCCCTTCCCCTCCCCAGATTCCTCTCCCATGTTCTCCCACGATAATCCTTCGTAATTATAGCGTAGAAAGGGAAAGAAATAAAATGTCCTTCAAATCGTATAGGAACTATTTAATCAGAGAACTTAATCTCTTGAAAATCTTTGATTAATCTTCGATTCTCTATCTCTTTATACTTTTATTTATTTCTTAACAATTTTCTATTAACTCAATTCTATGTTATATAATGAAATAATATACCTAATTATAAAGATTAACGTTTATGATAATAATCTTAATATATATATATATATAAATTACGGGTTTCACGTTGTTTGTCCACAATGGACTCCTAAGCTACTGTAACGATTTTAATCAATTTTTGCACACTGTGTGCAGTTTCATCTAATTTTAAAGATAGGATAGTTAATATCTCAATTTATAATCGCAATATTATTTGTTTATTAACAAAGAGTCATGATTATCTCTGTTAGTTCGATAAGATTCTAACAGATGGGGGTATAAGGTAATTCGTTCGACTTAAAGACGTGTGTAACGGACTGATTGTGAGCCACAGCACCCCTAGTATCATAGTAATTTTTCTGTTCATTTTTACGATCAAAATTGTAGTATAACATAACGAGTTCATGCCCAACAAGGGTAAAGATAATCCTATCTTGACTACTGAACAAATTTCTCTTCGAAGCATATCATCCTTGACAAGGATGTTCGGGGGGTGGGTTTGGAGGAGGATGAGAAGCGTCGGATTAACAATGTGCGTACATCCTCCACCTG